TTTTCTTTACTCTTGCTTCGTCCTTTGTCCTTTTCGTCTTTATGCTTGTGTTTCTTTTTCTTTTTGTGTTTTTGTTTCGACTTCTTTTCCTTACCATCGTCGGCTTCATTTGAATCGTCGCTATCAGTATCACTACGTTCTCCTTCAGATAGATCCTTTTCCCGTTTAACTTTCTTTTTCTTCTCTTTTTTGTTCTTTTTATGTTTATGACTTTTCTTAAGCAGACTTTCATCATCCAATAGTTCCTCAGGTGGAGCAGCGTTAAATACCTTGAAAAGCTCTGCGAGTATTTCGTTAGAGGACTTTACCGGTTCAATAGATTTTTTATCTTCATCCAGACTAGCTCTTGTAACAGTAGAGTCTCCGTCGTTACTCTCACCTTTGTTGTCATTGTCTTCCCCAGTACTGTCCCCATCGTCATCTTCACTCCCATCTCGACCAGCGTTAATTTCGGTATTACTTTTACCGACTTCTTTTTCGGCATTTTTTGCCTGTGAAGTCTTCTTTTTGTTGTCGGATTCAAGTTTGATTACCGCATTTGCAATGGAGATTGCGCTAAGTTTTGCTTCAATTTCAGGATCGAATTTTTCTTGCTTAACTTTAACTTGCTGCGCTGGCTCAGGAATATGTGTGCGTTTCTTCAAAGTTTTTTGCTCATCCGGCATATTTGCTTAGCACTCTTTGATTTCTACAATTTTATAGCTATTTTATTATAGGTTTAGATCTTACACATATTATTTGCCAGGGTAAATATACATAGAATAATTGTAAAAAATTTTATTTTCACGGAACATTTATATCGGAAACTGCACTTTTTTCATTAAATGTCAAACGCAAAGGAAAGCAGGAGCAACGGAGCTGCCATTATGAAATGCGAATAATGCTACAAAGCAAAATGTCAAAACAACATTTTTTAGGTATTTTATATTAGGGAGATACATAACTTATGGCAACAGGTATTTGGTTAAAAAATTAAAAATAAGGCTTTACTTTAAAAGTTCTTTAACACAATTAGAACAAATCGAGTATACCAACCTTTAAGCTATGGAAAAACTAAAAACCCAGACCCATAGTTCTTTTTACGCTGATTTCAATCATACCAAAAATATTTGGCGCAAGCATAGAACGTAGACCAAAAATTGCTTCACAATATCCTGGTTGATCTGTCAAACAGCCACTTTACGCACCTATTTACACCTTTTCACAAAGGGGTGTTCCCATAAAAGCCTCGTGAACTAACGAGTTTTACACGGTCTAAGACTTTACGAGTTTAAGGGAATCCCCTAAATAAGAAGGGACAATTCGTTATAATTGTAGCGAGAGTGAGTAACAGGGGCATGCCTTCTCTCTTGCCCAAGTACGTTTTCTGATTGGATGAAAAGAGAAGGCACGTCCTTGTTACTCTTGTTGTCTACATTCTTTGACACAAGAAGCGCAAGTAAAAACTAAGTGGATCTAAGAGGCTAAAATTAAATTTTTCGATGTTTGAATATTTCAGTATCTTATGAACTACATGACCAATTAAAAAAGAAATGATGTAAAAATAAAGACAATTAATTTTTCTTTCGGTTTATGTACAAACTGTTTTGTATATTTCTAAGGGCCAATTTCAACTGAATATTTAAATGGCACTTAAGTTTAATTGTGGACTGTTGTTTAAATGCCATTTAACTTTCGTGGGTTTTCAGATCAACTTTGTTTAAATATGCCAAACAATTGGCAGCACTGCTGCTTGTTCCTTGAAATTGTTGTTGCATTTGCTTATTTGTTTACATTTTGTGCTGAGCAGCTGGGATTGATTAAACAACCTATCAATCAATCTTGATTCTTTGGTTCAAACACAGGGTTGCATTACTCATATTTAAATAGCCAATATTGGTCATTTAAGTGCAGATTAAATGTATGATCTGAAAATGAATAGTGGTAGTTAATCAACAATCTCTCCTTTTAAATAGGCAAACTGAAATTGGGCTTAAGCCAAAAATTAAAAAATTTCTTAATTTTTCCATAAAACAACCATTTTTGAGAAAAATGCATGATTAATGCTAAAGAAATTTATATTATTTGGAAAGTAAAGGTTTTTAATTTAATTTGATATGCATATTTTGTTATGATTTGCTTTTCAGTTTTAAGAATCCAATAAAAAATAAATAAATGTTGTATTATATAGTTCATAAGATATTAATATTTTAAAGTATCGAAAAATTAATTTTAACCTCTTATATCGACACACGATCACCATTTTTTATTGAAAAACATCCCATCTCAGAATTCGGTTAAAAAATGCCCTCTCTCGGCTGCCTTATCTCAGGACATCTGCAATACATTTTCATTTGAGATAGGGCGTTATTCAACCGGCGTTCTTGAAAAGTTTTCTGAGATAGGATGTTTTCGAATTGGCTTTCGAGAAAGATCGGCCTTCCACTCATGTATCAATATTTTTTACTTGCTCCAAATAATTTTGGTATAGATGAAATCAGTGTAAAAAGTGCTATCTATCTGTTTTTCCATAGCTAAACGGTTAGTATCATGAACCAACGACTACAGATCACCTAATCAGCCATCGTTGTATTTGTAATCGATTTTCTGAAAAAAGTTTTCGTAGCGTTTTTGACGTTTTTCGGTTTTGTTTACATCGTCTTCTACCTCTTCATAGTGATTTTTTAGCGATTGAATGTGTTTTCTGCAGCGATTTTAATTATAAATTTGGTTAAATGGTTTATTACATATTTGTGATATAACATGAAGTGCTGTGTGATTGGAAAAGTTTGTGCGTATGTTTGGTTTGCCAAAAAGGCGTAAATTTGCGTGAAAAGTGGGTGCACGTTTGTGGCCAGAACGTTGGCATTGAAAAATCGACCCGTGGTAATGATATGCTATTGTAAAACACTTTCAATCATGAAAACCATTTTTTATGAACTTTTTTTTGTTAATTGTCATCAAGTTTCACTTTGTATATTTTATAATAAATACCAATTTAATCGCACTCAATCACCGCGCATTTTTCGTTTTCTTTGTTTGTTTTCATTCTTAGGCAGATGTCAAAAACGCTCAGAAATATACTTTTTTCTTGCTTCTTTGATTAGGTGATCTTGTATTTTTGGTTCATGGGTTAGTATTCTCGATTTGAAAGTTATGTAATCAAGATGCAGTCGTTATTGAAAACAACGCAACAACACGAAAGTCTCTCTTGTAAAAACTCAGCCGTTAAAATGGAACGAAAAATTTACTATCATCTTGAAAGAAAAATTAGCAATACATACAATCTTATGGTGCATTTACATGGTATGAATCTGTTCATAAGCCGTATGAATTTTCCTATAAAAGAAGCACCANTTATCTTGGTTTCTCGTTCGGACATTAATACTTCAAACATAATTGTAATTAGTAATCAACTCCTTCGGTCCACAGCAATGGAATTGATCACCTTTTTAATTCCTTATAAGTAGTTTCAAAAGTATTTTCTTGATTTTGAATTCCATTACAAGGAATTGCATATTGTATTTGGAATTAAATACATGGAAGTGATGTTTTTAACACTGCGAAAATTCGTTATATGACTTTGGTGGTACTTTGCGAGCCTCCTTGATATATTTTTTAGGCGTTAGGAGTGAACGTCAAAATGAAAGCTGAAATAAGTAAAAAAGTTAAAGTTCGGGCGGAGCCGAATATTAAATACCAGCCACAAGTATAAAATATAGTTTGTTCTCTTTTCCAAAAACTACCGCTGCAAGGTAAGCAGGGGTGAATTTACCCTTATTTCAAACATCTTCGATAGAACGCTCAGTTAGACATAATGTTATAAATTTATATAGTTATGTTAGTACATCACGTCTATTTTCCCAAATCCCATAATAATGTTATTTGTTTTTAAGGAATTGTTGTTATTATCAATTTTGAGTCCTTAAATTTCGAAATATCGGTGTTTGAAGCCCACTTTTCAAAACTTTATCATAAACGTTTTTTTGCTAAAGAATTATTGCAAACATCAATTTTGAATAAATTAGCTTCTGTACTTCCTGATTTATGGAAGATTTCGTATTTCTCTAAATTACCGTTATAGGGGATGTGAGCATGGTTAATGTACGATTTTAAAAATTTTCAGCCGTTTGGTATGTTTGCCAATGAGGCCAACAACTGTGCCAAGTTTCGGAAAAATTGGTGGGGCGGTTACCAAGCCATACACATGCAGTCATAAGTGGGCGTGGCTACGCACATTTTCCAAAAATTTTAATTGTAAATATCAATTTTGAGTGAATAAGCAAATTTCAACATGACGAACAGAAAATCAAAAAATGTTGCGTTTTGTAGAAATTTCCCACAAACGACTTGTCAAACCTCCACAGAGCCCTCTAAGGGCCGGTTACTCAATGTCTGTTTAACACTAATCTCCGGTTAAACATAGTTATCGACGTTACCGACGCCCTGTTGTATGCATGGAGTCGAAGACGATGTTTAACCGCAGATCAGTGTTAACCAGACATTGAGTATCGGCCCTTAATGGTACAACAGGTTTGCGCTAAAAACATGAGCGAACGAAGATCACTCAAGAACAAGAGTAAAAAAGCAGGTTATACGCCAACTTGTTTCGCTCGTAAACGAAAGAAAATAAATAAAGCAAAAAAACAGCGAAAACCAAAAGTGACCAAAAATTATTGACAGCCAATTTTATAACACAATTTAGGTAAAATTACCCAATAAGATGCTTTAAAACGTGTTGTCATGTGGAATTATTTTTTCTGTAGTTAAAGAAATGTGTAAAATAGTGGTGCTTGTGATGTGAATAAATGCTCAGCTGACGAGCCCGCTTTCGCAAACTTTTTTCTAAAAACCAGTTTTAAATGTTGTTGATTCCTGCGCTAAAGAGAAATTTTGTCTTCTTTGATAAACCGCTTGTGCATTTGACTCTTAAGATATTTGAATTTATTTAGAATACGGCAACTCTACGTAGCGAATGAAGTGATATACCGGATGTGCCATTCGGTACTAGTTTGTCACTCGCTCATTACTCGTTCCATTACATCGAGTTATGAAAAGAATTTTTAAACGTACTTGGGGACGGTCGTGACATTTTGTATATTTTAACTTCTTTTGAAAAACGTAAAAATTTGAAAATTCGCTTTAAAGTGATAACGTAGTAAACGAGCATTGTTTTTTGATTACAAATCACTATTAAAGTAAGGAGTTGAAACATAGGAACTTCTACATTTTTGGTGCTAATTATCTTCATTTTATTTCTCGGTGATTCTCCTTTGTCATCGCTCTTCGTCGCCTCCATCGTTGGTTCGTCGTCTTCACGTCGACGACAACTCGTGTGCCCGAACCATTCCAACGTGCCTTTGTTTTGGGGACGTGCGTGCGTGTATGTGCATCTTTGTGAATTTCGTCGTTTGCTAAAAACTCGCCGAATATCTGCAAATTCGTTAATCGCTACTCGCTGAATGTCTGACGATTGCTGTCTACATTTTCATTTATTACCTATGTGGTACTGAAAAATATTTCAGTAAAATTACTTCACAACTAAATTTGTACAGAGAGAAACAAGACAAAGTAAAGTAAAGCTGAAGCATTGAGATAAATTACAGCGATAGGTATCGTTGTAAACTACGAAAGAAGGGAAAGTGAGCAGTTATTTAATTGAGAAGAAAAAAAAAATAAAACAAAATGACATCGCTGGAACCGAACGTGAATCGCCTGCAGAATTTCAAAAATAAGGGCAAGGATCAAGATGTAAGTAATTAAACACAGATTAGTAAAGTAAAATGTTTTCCAATGAATTTGTGAACAACGTTTCCACCTATACTTCAATGATGCTGCTAGGTGTGATGTTATGAGACGCAGTTCATTTTAAGCACGGTGATGAGCACATGGGCATTGACAGCATTGCGGGGTAGACACATGTACTGTGTATTGCAGCAACGGGGCTTAAAGTGCGCTACACGTCGCCTTGCACCCACCGTCCTCGTTACCATCATTTCTGTTGCTGTGTGCCCCCTTTTATGCGCTGGTGTTGGCCATGCGCCCGCCACTCGCCAATTCCATTTGCTTCTTGTTCATCGAGGTGCTCTGTCTCCATGCAATTATTGATTTTCGCAATCTTCAAAATTCTCTTCATGTGAACGTCATGGCAGAGTGTATTAGTGGAAGTCGTGTTAGTGGTGGATATAGTAGAGACTATCCCAAATTCGCTATTTTCCCTATTAAAAAATGATAAAATGCGTAGAAACATCTGCTTTGTTTTATAGGGAATGGAATTTGAACTTAAGTGTTTTACATGTCAGAAATTCGCTTCATAACTATATATACATAGATATTTTTTTTTTAATGAAAGGGGACAGTAGGAATCTTAAATTGTTATTATCGTCTAACTGTGATCAACCATTCACTCGCGGTCTATAAATGTGTTCATACACAAGTACATTCACACATATGTGCGCTCTTTGATTCGTAGCTACAAAGCTTTGTATGGTATACAAGATTTTCAACTGGTTCTGCTGTTCGTGTTTGTGTATCACGTGTAGATGATGTTGTTTCGTCTCTTCTGCTATTTATTTTATGCTCTTTTCAGTTTCTAAAAAATTTAATTATGACGCATTTGTAGCTATTTTCGCGTTTTTGTTGATCGCAATCGCTTTTCACTTTTTTTGTTTGTGCTACAACGTCTTTCGCATGTGTCATTTTCATGCCCTGGGTTCCACGATGTTGCGAATCATTCTTGGCTGGGTTCTCTAAATCTATGGTATAAGATCAACGTTTTTTATAGGAAAAATGGTCAATCGAAAGCCCACGAAATTTTAAAATTTTGCTAAACTTGATACAAATTATTGGCTAATACTGCTAATATCCTGTTATGCCTGTTTCATTATTGTCGAACACCTTGTTGACATTTCTAATTTTTTTCGCAGTCAATAGGAGCAAATCACTTAAATTTTGTTTGTTTTCAATTTCTCAATCAATTACAATCTCTATTGGGATAGTATGTAATAAAGAGGTTTCTAAAAATTACTTCATAAGAAATCGGTATTATATCTGTTTAATTAGATCTTATAAGGGTGTGGGACAAGTTCCTGCCGAAAAATGCACCCAGTGTGGTCTGAGCGATGCCCAGAAATTAGCGTTTACGCTGAAAAAAAAAATTATAAATGCCTTAATTATCCCTATTTCAGTAGTAATCTCTTGCTAAATGCCAACATTTCACTCATTTGTTGAAACATATTAAAGAAAATACAAAAAATAGAGTTTAATTCATGTCTATGGCAACTTTTACTTCCATTATTACTTTACTCCAGTCGCAAGGGGGCGGGTCCTTGTACAATTTTAAGTATGTAATATTTCTATGAAGGTTATATCAGCCACATTTTTAATGAAAGCAAAAGATATAGTATATATTTTATAACAAAAAAAAAAATCTGGCTTGATAATGAAATGTTTTGACTAAAATTCTTCTTGAGGTAAAATCGAATGTCCCACTAGTCACATTCATTTAAATAATACATAGTTACAAAAAACCTTGCAAACAAAAATTGGAAATTGTTAGATATTTCTTTGAAAGGAATTTTATATGTATATCAGTTATTTATCTGCATACATAAATGCACACATATGTATATTAACAAATATTGTTCAGTGTTGTATACGTTCCGAAGACAGAGTTTTAATTTACACACATCACATTCTGGAGTCAAATGTCCCACTAGTCACAAACGAAGACATCAAGTTTTCATGACAGACTTTTCATTGAGTGTATTTCCGTGGGCGTTTTTGTTGTGGTTATTGATCAACCTCTTTCACATTCTCAGTTATTTGATTTGTGCGATTTTTCTGCAGTATGTTGTCGCAATTTGATATTTTACAAGCAACAATTCCCCGTCGCTCTTAAATACAATTTTTCTTTATAAGCCGTAACCACCTGCCAGCGTACGAGCGCTGTATAAATAACAATCTATACTCCACCATAATATTTCTGTCAATACTAATTTATTTTCAATTTATATTTTCGCGTAGGAGATGCGGCGTCGCCGCAATGAAGTCACAGTGGAGCTGCGCAAAAATAAACGCGAAGAGACGATCCTGAAACGTCGCAATGTTCCCAATATGGATTCGAATACAGACGAAGATGATCAGCTGCCGAATACAATCAACCTGAAGAAATTGGCCGAAGCGGCTGCTGACTCATCGAAACCGGAACAACAATTGGCTGCCGTGCAGGCTGCACGTAAGCTCCTTTCTTCGGATAAGAATCCACCAATTAACGACCTCATCAAGAGTGACATTCTGCCGATTTTGGTTGATTGTCTAAAACAACATGATCACACAATGCTACAGTTCGAAGCAGCCTGGGCTTTGACCAATATTGCATCCGGTACTTCGGATCAGACCAATCAGGTATAGTTAAATTTTCGTACTTAGCACTTGGTATTAATAAATACAGGAGGCTTTTCAAAATGTTCTTGAAACATGTACTACGTTCAAATTAAAAGCATTTACCATTGTTATAGGGTTTAATTAGTTAAATTAAAATTGTTGATTGAAAACCAGGAATGTGTCGGCAAGATTTCAGGTAAGACTAATGGGCCTATTATGTAAGGCGACTGGCAGCCGATGTTCAACGATATACTAAGATTTGCATTTCTGTCGGTTACTGAGTCTAGATGCGCAGTTTTTGTTTACCGCTTATGACAATTTTGTTATTGGTTAACGTAATTTTGACATGTCAAAAAAGTAAATTCGGATGTTGTCTGCGTTTTTCTGTATACTGAGATTAATCGCTATACATAATACAAAGTGCGAACACTGGTAGATATTGCTACTATACCGGCAACTAGATACCAGTCGCCATACATAATAGGACCATAAAACAGTTAGCGAAAAGATCCAGAATGGATATCTCCCATTGAATTCTCAAAAACCGCATACAAAATCCCATGAAGAAAAAGTGAAAAAGCTTTTAACATAAAATGAAATAAATAAATAAAACAAGAGCAGAAAAAATTCAATTAGTCCGGACCGCATGATGCCGCTATAATTTGTGGGAGATTTTATTTCTGTTGTCCATGGAAAAACGAGGCGATTTTTCGGCAAGCAAACAATTGACACGCCCTAAATTAAAAGTTAGGTACAATCTGAACGCCCTGATTAATAAAACACCTGTTCAATCATTTAACTAGCTAGTTTTTGCCAATTTGAATTTACTCTTAGTCAATGCGCCTATGTACCTAATTATTGGATGGTATTAAATTTATTTTTTTTCTGGAACAAAGTCTACTTATTTGTTGTTTTCCCATAACGTTAAATATACGCGAAATACGCAACAAATTCTCCGATATTTTTCCGGAGTAAATTTATTTGTAACTTTTATTTTTGTAGGTGGTTGCTGCTGGCGCAGTGCCGCTCTTCCTGCAGTTGCTCTCTTCGCCCGCTCCCAATGTTTGCGAACAGGCCGTTTGGGCTTTGGGTAATATCATCGGTGATGGACCGGAGTTGCGCGATTACGTAATCAAACATGGCGTTGTACAGCCACTGTTGTCGTTCATTAAGCCAGACATACCAATTTCTTTTTTGCGGAATGTTACATGGGTTATTGTGAATTTGTGCCGCAATAAGGATCCACCACCACCAGCCGCCACCATACACGACATCCTGCCCGCACTAAATGTGCTCATCCATCATACGGACACCAATATACTTGTAGACACTGTTTGGGCAATTAGTTATCTAACCGATGGTGGTAATGATCAAATTCAAATGGTGATTGAAAGCGGTGTCGTACCCAAACTGATACCATTGCTGGGACATGCGGAAGTTAAGGTGCAAACGGCTGCTCTACGTGCTGTCGGCAATATTGTGACCGGCTCAGATGAGCAAACACAAGTGGTGCTCAACTATGATGCGTTGTCGTACTTCCCAGCATTATTGTCGCATCAAAAGGAGAAAATTCGTAAGGAAGCAGTATGGTTCCTGTCAAATATTACGGCCGGTAATCAGTCGCAAGTGCAGGCGGTCATCAATGTTGGTTTGCTGCCGAAAATCATTGAGAATTTAAGCAAAGGCGAATTCCAAACACAGAAGGAAGCTGCCTGGGCAATCAGTAATTTGACAATTAGTGGTAATCGCGATCAGGTGTTCACATTAATCAAGGAGGGTGTTATACCGCCCTTCTGTGATTTGCTCTCCTGCCAGGACACACAAGTTATCAATGTGAGTATGCATATTTAATATCGATTTGTTAAAATGCAAATGATATCTTATTAATTCTTAAATCGTTATTGAAATTTTCTTTTTCTCGCAGGTTGTTCTTGACGGACTCAACAATATGCTCAAAATGGCCGAAAATCACGTACAGGAGGTGGCTAATTTAATTGAAGAATGTGATGGTCTCGAGAAGATTGAAAAACTGCAAAATCATGAAAACGTCGAGATTTACAAGTTGGCATACGAAATCATTGAGCAATACTTTTCGGATGAGGTAGGGAACTCGACATTTTTTCCTTTAATATCTAAACTAATACGTTAGATCAAAATGTTTCCCGATACTTATATTATTCTCTTTTGTTTGTATTACAGCCGGAACAAGCCAGCCTCGCACCCACCAACGACGGCACACAATTCCAATTTGACCCGAACGCTGATAGCAAATTACCAATGAATTCTTTTGACTTTTTGAATTAGCACGGCTGCTGTGGAAACAATAAAATTTTAAACATAAAGCTACTACCACCAACAACACGACCGCGACTAGCACCTTAAAAACCACCACCAACAACTCCAACAAAAAATACTGTTGAGCCATCAACCGCCAGCCAATTGACGTATCAAATATTGAAAACGACAACACCGGCAGCGACGGCCAAGTGTTGAACTGACTGACTGACAGCAAAGATAAATTTGCAAAACAAAAAAAAATATAAAAAAATGTAGTAAATAAAAAAAAAAAAACAAAAAAATGTATACACAGACAACAAAACAGGAATAGTAGAGAAGTAACTCAACAAAGAAGTAGCAGCAGCAAAAGAAAGATTAAGCAAAGGAGAACACAAGTGGCGACAGCGACAAAACATCAAGAGAACTGCACTGCATAAGCTGTTGTTAGCTAACATCACACACACTTCAAATCTATTTACATTGGAAACGCCACGAGCGTGTAGCGTGCAGCAGCGACATCCGCAGAGAACAATGACTATGGAGCCACAGACAGGAATTACACGTATGAATTCAAACTGCGACAAAAACAACAACAGAAATAGAAATTGTCAAGAAGTTCGCCAGTCCAAGTTGATTATAATTATAATTAATATTATATGAAACGAAATTATATACATACATATATATGCCTATATATACATGAAATATTTTGAGTTTAAGGATTGTAGAGAGAAAACGAAATGAAAAAAATCAACAACCACAAAAAGTCTACTGTCACATCAACATAATTTTCATCATCACTACGTGCATAAACTCCAATCAACTTCATTATCATGTTCACTAAAATTCAAATCAAATCAAATTCATATACATACAACAGATTTCTATTAACAACAGGCGTCAAAACATTATCTGTAACCTCCCCGCGCGTGTTGGAGTTGATGTGCATTGCTGTTGCAGAAGTCACTTGTAAGGGAAATTACATATTTAACAAACATTAAATACATAGGTTTGACAATATTTTTTTTTATGGATTTAGATTTTATTTAGTTTCGAATTCTCAATCCTAAAATGAAGACACAGTTTCAAAATCTATCACTAAACAAAACAATGTTTCTAAAACTAATCAAAAATTAATAATACGCCTTTGGTAGCGCGCGTGCCGTGTCCACGATTTTTTCTGTATATTAAAAAATTGAATTGAAAAATCTTTGAAATATGATAAACATATATATGTACATAAATACAAATGTTTAACATAGACTGTGTGTGGCCTTTAAGATTTTTGAATTAATTTTCCGTAGCAACTGGCAGCAAATTTCTACAACTGCGATGCGTTTTGTACACAATGTGTAGTATGTCGGGGTTAGGATGTTACGAATTCAATACATTTCTAGCATGCAAATTGCCACATTTTACTCTTTTTTTTAATATTGATATCAAAATTAAAATTACCAAATTTCAAATCTTCAATATGCAAATACTCATCTTATTCATCTTGTAAGAGATGTTTACTCTTGAATTTCTTCTTAAGTGTACATGGTGTCCACTAACTGAAAAATATTCTGTATATTTGAAAATTGCTGCTTTGCATCATTGTCAAGATTTTGTTCAGAGAGTAATTTTTTTCGGCGGTATATAAACTGTGATAAGTTTCCATTTTAAATTTGTATTTGAGGTAAATTTTTCGGGGTTTTAGTGTTAAGATACATTCTATCTAAAACAGAAGTTGGAAGTTGTCAAGTTTTCGCCTCAGCCTGCACATCAACTCACAACGCAAACGCTCTCGTGTATGTAGTATGTATACAACATTTTCAGTACTCAATCATCAACTTTTGCACTTTTGCTGACTAATATTTTATTGGATTGAAATCGCGCTCTCAATTGTAAGAAGTAACATCGCTCGTTTACCATAAGACACATATTGATTTACATTCACTCCCGTTTTTTTTTTTTTTTAGTTGTGGCAGTTTTTTTTTAGATTAAACGAGTGATATGTGTCTTAATTTTTTTTGTAGATTTTAACATGCTAAATTGCGCATATTCGATATTAGCCTTTTGTTAAAATTGTAAAAATTGTTCACACCAACACAGCTTCACTATTGTTATAAACGGCATGTCCATTTGAATATTCAACTAGCAGATGTTTCTGATTTCCATCTCTTTGACTTTGGCAGTCTTGGGTCTTTCAGCTTCCTTCCCATGAAGCTAGAGCTTTGCAGTATTTTCATCGCTGTACTAAATGTTAAGTTTTCTACTTGTTTAATTTTTTCATATCATTTGTAAGATCATTGCATCATTTGTTGAAGTTTTTCCACTACATTGTTGCATAATTATCTTTGGTTAAACATAGCACATATATATTTTTTTTATACATTTTCATCGCTCTGTACATTATCGGGTCTGGCATATCCAAAGGGCTGTGGCCATATTTTCTTCCAAAATACCCTACTCGTACGTATGTATATCAATCAATCTCTCCTCCTGCACTAACTCTACGAAAAGATACACTGCAACACATTTCCAGCTGACTATTTCTTTATAAATTTTTATTTAAAGAAACCACGAAATTATTTTACTCATCAACATTTATGCCTGAATGAACTAATTTTGAGTTTTCGTTCTCTATGTTTTTAAATAATTCCAAATTAAAGTACTGAAAATCAGTGAAATATAAAACAAGTTTCTTAAAAAGCAACCTACTGAAGTTAAACAATAAATACCAAGCCAAAAAAAAAAAATGAAAAAGAAAAACTGCGCGAAATTTTACACTTAAACGTTCTCAATGAAAAGCAAATTGAATTTATTACTAATATCAGAAGTATTTAGAATCTTAAATCAAGACACAACCAACTAGCAAAGAAGCCACGAAAAACGAGATTAAAAAAAAATAAAAATATTTGCAAACTTCTAAAATTAAAATGGCATATTGATGAAAAAGATGAAAAAAGAAACAGAACCATGCATAAACACCAACAACAACAAGGAACAAGGATAACGCATAAAATAGTACGCCATAAATTCATACAAATGTGTATGCAGTTGAAGAAAAGTTATGAAAGCAATTAGTAGCAGCAAAGAATTGAACCGTAAGCTACATAAATTATAATGAAATTATGAAATCGAACAGCATTTTTTGGTATAGAATTTAATTCGCCATTAAAAAAGATATCGAAACAAATATACATACAAAAATCTCAGATTTTTTTTCTTTTTGGAAATTCGTGCAGAAAATAAAAAAATTAATAAGGAAATCAAATTAATTAATACGAAGGAAGTAATAAGATAAATATTATTAATAGTGCAGCAAGCGTATATTTAAAAAATATAGTACTTGCATTCGACAATTACGAAATAAAGTAATTATTTAAATTAAATTTTATTAAAAAAGTCAAGTAAAATTTTAATATTTCGCGTTTTCTTCTAATAATGACTTATAATTCCTAATACGTTGCGTGTTGTAGAGTGTGTGTGATGTGCGAGGCTTGGTATGTGTCGAAATATTTTAGGCTGTGTTCAGAAATGTATGAAGCCAAAGCATCAGTCTCAGTTTTGCTCTAATCTTTGTTTTCAATTCGTGGGAAGCATACGCGTATGTAGCCTATTCAATAATAATGACTTTAACATTTATTTTTATTTTTTATATAAATAGTTTTCAGATTGGGACGGGTCGATGTTATAAGCCCACGGTGGTTTGGCGCACAGTGCGAAGAAAGAGACTGTCAGACGTGGCAATGCAATGTATTTCGAAAAGGCTGCCAAATTGAGAAGGTTCAGAAAGCAGTTGCATAAGCAATCACACCTTGCATGTACAGTGTCTTCCGACAGAGGTTTTTTTAATTTCCGAAAAGCGAAGTGCTGGCGCAGCACGAGCAAGTTGAAATATATTTGCGAAATCGATTTGCGCTCTCTCAATTGCAGTCACATCTTGCAACTTTTATTTCTGAAACTGATTTCCGAAATGTGACGGAAGGTCTTTCTGGCTGTGTTTACACATCGAAATAAAATTTCTCTTTCTCAATTTGACAGCGAATTGCGTGGAACAGTTGGGAAATATGACCACGCCTAATGTATCGTTTAATGTATCGTTTTGGAAAAAATTCAAATCTTAATCGTTTTACACATTTTTAGTTGCTATAGCTGGAGTATGTCTCATTATGAAGGTGGTTGCTTAACCCTACAGTTACATCGTTTAAGTTTTGTAGCACAGTTCCTTGAAAATGTATAATTTTAAATTTAATTCCACATTTAAATTATAACAAAGCCGCATAACTTTTGTTTTATTTTACTTAGAAAATATTAAAATAACAGATTTTTTTTGGCGATTTGATGATTTAGAACTTAAAAAAAAATATATATATAGTGTGTTCAGAAATGCATCATGCCAAAGCATCAGTATCTTTTGACTTCTAAATTGTAATTGATTAAATTGCTTTATTTACGCAACTAAGTTCCAATTAGGCATTTAGGGCCTGTTCGAGGCATGTAATAAAAGCGGAAATACTGCAGCACTGATCAAAATTTGCAATACTGTTGCAATTTAACTTCCCAACTGATAAAACGTAGCTAGAAATTTAAACCGAACGTGATACTTTAATGATTCGCGCAACACTGTGGTTGTGATTGCATCTCGAACAAGCCCTTAACCGTGTTTGCGCCTATTGGATATTTCCATTAATTATAGTTTCTGAACATACTGAACAATACAAGTTAGTCGATTCGAGTAAGAATTAGTATTAACGTATAAAAAATAGCATTAGTATTCCAGATTTAAGAGGATAAGTGGCTCGGAAGTCTTAAGGAGTTTTTGTATGGCGTGTTTGATGAGATAATACGATTCTTCAGCTGCACAGTCATGGTACAGACAAATATTCTTCTGGCAAAAAAGCGTTTACATGCGGGCGGTATCTGGCCGCAGGATTTTTCATTCAAGCAACGCTAGCTTTGGAAGTGTGAAATTCCCCTACGGAAAATTTAGAAAAATTCGCAGCAGCCGCTTCTCTTTTGACAAGGCCCACGGTTGCATTTCGAACATAATCCCTACGGATGCCAGGACCTATAATATACATACATATATTTCTTCTTATTCTGACTTGCAAGGCATTATCGGCTGGCCAACGTACATAAATAAATCAGGTTTGTTCTACAAAATCACAGCTGACAAAAGTGCTTCCTGCATGCTTTCTAGAAGCAGATTCAGCAGAACTCCTCCAAAAGGCCTTCTGAGAGGATATCTTGCAAAAGCCCTTCTGGAAACTCTTCTATGGGCAACAAAATCAGAAACCCTTCAGTACAGGAATGCAGAGTGGAAGGCTTCTTGACTTTTAAGAAGGCCTTTTGGCGGGTATTTTAGCTCTTGCATTTATCTACTGGGAGTGGTTCTAGCCAGATCGTTCAACGTGCCACACAGTGCACGCCTCAACGGCAATTCTACGTAAACGATTTAACGGTTGGGTTAACTTCCGCGCCATCATTATTCGATAGAGTGGTTGAAAATTGACGCACTGGGATCCGTGACACCATACGAAGCAGCGAGGGACGTTTGAACCATGCTGCATAACACATAGAATAAGATAAAAGAGACAGGCATACGCGGTTTTGTACTTTAGATGACGTCTTGCTCCACTTGCCTTCGTTGACAAGAGCTCTTTTATTTTAGTTGAGATCAAGGGTAAGTAAGCCTCTAGCAACTGGGAAGTCTGATCGAATTTTGGGGACTCGTCGGCTAATAAATTGTATGCGATTGGAATTCACCGTGAAACCGACTGCTGAAACTCGATTTTGAATTCAACATTTTCACTGCATAATTTCAGGCACACTATTTTTTTGCAAATGATTTTGTAAACACACTGTACCTATTTGTTTTTCCTTTATTTATTTTGTTGACGAAATGCCTAAAGAAATTTAATGTACATACATTTTTACAATCGAATAGCAAATAAAAAATATATGTAAATCCGAAAAATTGCAAGCTAGTGTGTAATCAACTACTAACCATTCAAAATTTCTTGTATAACTAATGAGTGCAAAAGTTGGACCTCTTTCACGCCTATATAATGGTATAATTGGAATGGCAGATAAATTCGTACCAGGCCGTTGGCGTCCACTTTGGGAGCATCCAGCAGGTGAATAAATTTAAAAAAAAAAATGGCACATATAGAATGTATTATATTTACTTTCCCACATACTTATGTAGGTCCAAAAACGATATTTTTCTGGGCGCCATTGGGTAAATGGGTATGTTGTCCTCTATTTAAATCAGCGATGGGCAGCGAGAGCTTTTACTCTGCACGTGCCTATACAAAATGTATAGAAAGCTTAAAAGAGCTTTGCCCATCAACCATTTAAATATATATACATTTGTATGTACATATGTTAAGTTTAGCTCACAAGCTCGTTTTAGGCTCTCGTCATCGCTGGACTTGGAGACATAAATCGTCCTGCACATTTACTGTCAATCAATCAATGCGCGGTCTTAGCTACAACTGGCCTAATTTGGTCCCGTTACTCACTGGTCATTATTCCAAAAAATTGGTCATTATTTTCAGTAAATATTTTTGTCGCAGCTACTCAAGCATATCAAATTGCACGTGCTTGGCAATACCAACAAAGTTGGAAAAACAAAACTGATTAAAAACCATATGGAATTCAGCAAAATCAGGGACGTCAATCGAATAAAATATTTGGCTAGTTCCGTTACAAACGGTTTTTTTTGTTTGTTTTTCAATTGGGGGTTTCGATTCGGCTACTAAAAAAAAGAACTATGTACATACATAGATACATATACAGGATGTCCTAGACCACCCCCTCTAAAATGGAGGGAAAGGATTTTTTATTAAAAACGCAAATCGGGAATGCTCTACATATGTTTAGGTGGTATTTCGGAACTCGGGTTTCGACCGGAAGTGGTCCATTCAAGAAAAAGTCTCCGACAAAAGATGTATGTATTTTGTCCGCAGGATTTGAATCTGTTGTAAAAACATGTATGTATATCTAATTTTAAAATATGCACTTCCGGTCAGTTTAACCCACTTTCACTATGCTCGTACTCAAAACTATTAAAAGTTGTATAAAACTCACAGGTTTTGCGCTTTCATACCCAAAAATCTTGCAAAGTAGGGGAAATTGAAAAGAAAATCAGCTGATCACAAGCGGATGTTCGTAAATAAACAAAAGGAAATACGGTAATTTTGAATTTCTCCATTTTTTTGCGGTCAAATGCACAAGAGATACTTCGTCTTGTCCCCGTTTACCGCCAGATCCATTCGTTTTGCTTATATGTTCAAGCCAAGAATGATAGAATACAAGATTGCGCCGATCAGAGAGGATTTTTGAGAATAACTTTTGTGTGACGTCACACTGGTGCAATTGCGAGAGAGAAATGCCAAAACGTGAGCAAGAATGGAAGAAGAAGAAAAAATGTTGCAAGGAAAACGTAAACAAGTTGCACAAGTGTGACGTCATGCAAACAACGATTCTGTCAAATTCGTTAAGAGAGGAATAGCGGCCCGAGATCGGCGCAACCTTTGTATTCTCTCAATCGTGTGTACAAGCAGCGATAGATGCCAGTTTAACACAGAACATAAACATGAGATAAAGTCGGGTAATTTTGCCCAAAAGTGTTATCTCATGATTCAATAATACAAGGTTAGATAATTATTGACAGCTGCGGTTTGACACTCCCTTACAAAAGGTTGCATTTACGAAGGACAGAGAAAGGGCAAGAATGCAATCCCTTGTTTCGAAAATGGTAGTAGAAAAGTACGCAAAGTAGGCAATTAGTAGTGAAATTCCTTTTGTAAATTCTAATGTATTTGCAGGAAATCTGACATTTTAAACGAAATGTTGAACGTAATATTGATATATCTACGTGAATTACGTAATTTATATGCTATTTAGCCGTATAAAAACTGCAAAATGACTCAAAATTAAAATAAGACTACTATGAGATTGATGTAAACATCCAATGCTTAGGTTTTCATCAGTTAAATATGCTTCATATGCATATACAAATAAACATATTGCACAAAAGCTTATACTTTTATTTCACACCAAAGCTACACTGTTTCCATGTAAATTTGCAAAGAAGCAACACGGTGCCACTGCTAAAGGAGCAGTGCGAGAGAGACAACTGTCAGTTTATCGAACCTTGTATTATTGAATCATGGTGTTATCTCTAATTAGTATGGGAACCAACAACAAACAAAGTTACCACATTAACACAGTAGATAATATAGAACTGTGAGCATCCTAATTATTAGACTAAAATTGAAGGGGCTAAAAAACTGTGTACTCGAAAAAATTCTAACACTTCCGAGAAAAAAGTTTGAAACTTAGGTGAAAATTTGTTGCACTTTTTTGAAGTTTTCTACAAATTGTTAAACTTGGGTTTATATGGGGTTTGTTAGAGAAAGAACTGTATTTTAACTGAAAATTCTTAAAAATAAATAAATACATATAAGTGGCACACAATATCACTTTGAAATGGCGTGCTATAGATATGACCGATACTGTATGGGCCAATTTCATAGTGCGTAGTTAACTCAGAAACAGCAGTTAACTAGAGATTTTCAGTACAAAAATCTATAGTTAACTGGCGATTCTGAGTTAACTACGCACTGTGAAATTGGCCCTATGTAACACAGAAACATGGACGATGACGAAGAAAGATGAGAAAGCTTTGTTGACTATCAAGAGAACTATTCTACGCAGGATCTATGGCAGGTGGAAATAATAGTACACCTAGACCGATTTCACTGAAGCTTGACATATGCTCTAGTTTTACTTAGAAATAGAGAATTGTGAACTTTAGTAAAGATGGAACAATTGACACGCCCTCTACTCTTGTGGGCGGAAATATTAAATTTCATCCGATTTCGATGAAATTTAGTTTGTAGACTTTCTTTTATTAGAAAAACCTGAATATAAAATATGGGGAAGATTGGATCACTAAAACGTCCAAAACTCTCAAAAAATGTGGGTCCAGTCATTAAATGTGATGGAATTTTTGATTCCTGATTTCCAATCTCAGGAAACAAAGGTTATACTATAAAATGACATTGTAGGTTTAAATACTCGCTTTTTCCCAATGTTTGGTGAGATTTTTTCATCGTTCGAAAAATTCTTTTCGCGAAATTATGCAAAAAGAAGCTGAAATCAAAAATTACATATTTTTGCAAAGCCGCTCGAAAAGATCCAATTGTATAGTTTAAGACTGCATAGAATTCTCTAAAACATTCGTCCAATTTCAAGACCTGACGGACTGGTACTCACACTTTTTTACTAATAATCTTTAGCATCTACAATTTAAAGTAATTTTTTTGATAAAAAATAGGAAAGTTCCAAATAAATGATAAACACCTTCACCTGAATATTCCGCGACACTTAAATAATTGATTACAGTGGAAAAAGAAACTTGCTTTATTGGGCTAATCGCCAAAGGCTACTAAACTGATTAGACGGTATCGGGCCGATTCCAGTATTTTTACGGAAATGTATACATAGTTGGTGTGGAAGGGGGGTGAGTAAATAATGTGAAATTTGGTATTTATGACTTTTACTTTTACCTTTCTAAGTCCAACCGTTTTTTTTTTTTATCAACTGTCACTGACTTTTTTCTACTTGCCTCCATATAGTCGAAACACTGTGCGACGGGTAACGAATAATATGGAATGATGAACTGTTGGAGATTGGAAAATTGGTTTGTGTCTTCTTGGTTCAAATCGTCTTTTCGCATTTCAGGTGACCACTGTGCAATAAGTCGCAAGCTTTGGGAGAACCACGTGTGGCATAACATTCAACAGATACAATATATATATGTATGTATGTACATATGTATGTACATATATACCTAGTCGGCAAAATGAGGAGCGTTTCTAAATGAACGCCTTCTGGAAGGAATTCTTCAGACCTCTTTGGAAGCTTTTTTAGAAAATCTTCCAATAGCGTTGTCACGCGAAGGTAGAAAAGGAGTAAAGAATCGAGCATAGAAGGCCCATCGCTTGAAAAGATCCGAAATAAGGTCTCCCAGAAGTTCTCTTATTTTCTAATTTTGCTGGCTGGGTATGTATGAACACACGTATCTTCTGCATGAGTATGCAAGTTTGTACTGATATCAGTGAATTGTAAAAGCTCGACAAGGCAAACAAGTTCAAGTTTACATTATATAAATACATTAGGGTGGCCCTTAAAAAATCAAATGAATGATTTTTTTCAGTCTCACCCCCTCAATCGGTAATACCACGGGCACATTTAAATTTTGGTCCCGATTGGAGTCGGTTAAGGCGTGTCGCAAAGGGTTCAAAGGATGCCTCTATGGATATTCAAAAAAATTAAACCCGCGACCCGCCTTAACCGAACCCAATCGACGCCAAAATTAATATGTGATATCTTCGACTATAGTAGCATCGACGTTGGGGTTGAGGCTTAGGAAATCTGATGTAGAAATTGCTTCCTATATTTAAGGACCACCCTAATAAACGTACATATGTAGGTATGTATGTACATTTATAATTGTGGCTATGGAATGGTATGTGAGTACAAACGAAATCTGGTTTGGTCGAGTGGCGAGATTTATATTTATTTATCGCAAAAAGCGCAAATGTTCACGCTATATATACGGTTACCATATTTATGAGAGCTGAATACAGGACAAAAAATATTTTTGCATCAGCTTACAGATCTAAAAGCCTTCTTCAATGATCCTAGATGGACACTGGCAATCAAAAGTGAGTGCATGGTGTTTTTTGTTTAATATTTGCAATGTTTTTCAAATTAAAATTTTTTTGTTATTTTTTTATAAAAATATGGTTCATGCTTTAATCAAAGCCACATAAGTCAAACTTTCACGCTTTATGCAGAACTTAGAAAAATTCCACAAATTTTCGTCTAAATTTTTAACTGAATTTTTAGAAAATTGTTGAGTACATAGATAGTTCGGAAGTGCAAAAATCCGTCAGCAATAAAAAATCATTAAAAATCAACGCGATTTTTTAGAGTTGAAAATCCGATTAAAAAGTTCAAAATTTAGACGAAAATTGGTTGAATTTTTCTAAGTTCTGTATAAAGTTTGAAAGTTTTGAAAGTTTGACTTATGTGGCTTTGATTAAAGCAGAACCATGTTTTTTCATACAAAGTAAGTATGTTCGACCATATTTTTGAAAGAGAAGCAAATGAACAGAACTTTCCACTCGCACTTTATTATACCCAATTTTAATGAGTTACAAAACTGGAAAAATTTTTTTTTTTCAAAAGATTCTAATTAGAAGCATTGCAGAATTAATTTTTGTAGTTTTTTGCATAAAGTTGGTAATTGGTATTATAGGTTTTTGTTAGGAAAAGAGCTTTACTTTCATAAAATACATAATAAACATTAAATGAAGTAAGGAAAAATAGCCAAAACTTACTAAAATGTCGAGTCCTAATTTCTATTTAGGTCACTGTATATATTCCTCGATTCGAATCACAGGCATACAGATTAGAAAATAGCAGCTTATGCAGAAAATTACGACCATATACCAACATCACTTAAAAGTCGTTCATAGGCATGCCATTTTAATGAGCTGTTAAGGCGTCGAAACACCGAATACGGGACAAATACAGGACATTAAAAGAAATACAGAACATTTGGCGTGCCGTATAAAATAAGTAAATTACCAGGACAATGGGTCAATAAAAAGGGCGGTCACGTATAATACAGGACGGATGGTCACCGAGCTATATACCAAGGCGACGCGCAGATTATCAATTTTT